AGAAAAAAAATACAATTATTGTTTAATATGGAATAATATTTGATTAATTAAAACGCGCATCGAAATATTAGATTAAAATAAATAAATTCCGTTCGTATTTGTGATTTAAAAAAAAACAAAAATATTCCGTAGAAATTATTTTCTATTTTAATCAGGATCGATTAATTTCTCTCGTATATATAAAATTGATATAAAAGTTAAAAGTTATGTATCGTTCTCGTTTCTCTTCACTTCTTTTTTTTTTTTTTTTTTTTTTTTCTAGAAAATAATTAACGAAGTCGTAGTTAAACGTATAATAACGTTAGTTTAAAACGTCGATTAGGAATGGGTCGAAAATTACAAAGGCATTTGGTATTATCGATAAGTTAATTCACACGGCCTGTGATAATCTTGCTTTCTTGCGAACGACTAGTATGGGTCGTGTCTGTTTCTGGGTTCAACGAGAGAGAAAGAAAGAGAGAGATGGGGGGGAAAGGGTAGGAGGGGGTGTAGGTAGGAGACCACAGTTGAATACCACGAGACCGGCTGTTTCCATGGGTCATCCGGTTTTAATTAGAAGACCGACTTCCGTTTACATGCGGTTTAGTCGATAACTCCGTATTCCTATTCTCTCTCTGTACTTCTCTTACAACTCTCCCACCCCTTCGACCCTTTTACTCCCTTATAATCTAAATCCGTTCATGATCAAAACGAATAACGAAGAGATTAACGGGAATGATAGTTCTCGAATCATTGAAATTATTGCTTTGAATCGTTTGTGATTAAATTACGTATAGTTAAGTATTATATTATACAATATTTTCTCTTTCATTTTATTTTTAATATTTTCTGATATTTTTTTCTTTTCTTTTCGATAATACTTTTCCTTTATTTTTCTTCCTAATAATAATAGTTTTTGTATTTCTTGAGATAGTTAAAAACAAAAGATAAAAATATTGATTACTAACTCGCAAAGTTATTATTATTATTATTATATATGTAATTCTTGTGTCTTGTATTATGATTTATCATAAATTTCATATAACGTTACAGTATTTTTGTGTGTGTGTGTCCGATCTAAATGAAATTGTAAATAATTTATAAGAACGTGTTAAGTAGTATAAACTTTTTTATACCTTCCAACACAGAATTATGCAAAATTTCATCTGGATAGTACGATGATAATTTAAGAGTTTTTAGAAAATTACGAACTCATGGATTTATACGTGCGAAACAATTTGTTAATATTACATATAATAATAATAATTTTTATACGTGATTTAACGATTATCAAAAATATTATTTTATTATTCATTAAAAATTCATATAAGATATCGAAAAAAAGGGTACAATAAAATACATTATTTCTTTGTTTGTTTTTTGAAATTCGATTGAACTTCTTACCCTATAGGGTATCAACGCGTTCACGTATCAGCACGGATCGACAATCTGAAAAGTAAAACCGAGATGTGGTACTTTCAAGGATAACCACTCGGTTCTTTGGTTGCTTTTGCACACACACACACACACACACACACACATTTGGAAAAAAGATACTTGCTATGCGAGAGAGAATGGATATCGCTTGAAGGGAAACAACGGTACCGTCTTCCATTGAAAGTTCGATGATCGTTCTATACTGATACAAGCATTCGACCTAAACTTATACGTGTTTTCATGTTTCTCATAGGATACGGCAATAGGAAGGAAGTTTTCATGTTAACCATGAAACTCTTTTCTTCCCTTTTTTCTTCTTCTTCTTCTTCTCTTTCTATTAGATTTGTTTTTTTCCTTCCTTTTGTAACTTATAACAATCCTTGAATCATTGTACTTACGATATATGTATCTCAATAAGTATTACGAAAGTCACTTTGTTAGTATAAAAATAAGGATATAAAAAAATAAATAAATTATCTGCTGACGAGTATAATATATTGGGATAATTAATTATTTATATATTAACAAACAAATGACACACTAATATATATATTTTTTTTTAATTAACAATTTCGATACAATACCGTTCAATCCTATATACTCTATCACGATTATTATTATTATCGTCAATATATTTTAGTGTTATTTAATTCAAATTATTTTATTTCCCATTTAATATAATATACACACGTGTGTGTCGTTTATTTTTATTCATTATGTTTTTTCTTATACTTATTGCCATACTCGATATTTTAATTCTAATCTCTTCCTTTTGTTTTGTTTTTTTTTTTAAACCGTACTTTTTTGTTCAAAATGTTGTTTTTCGAATATGTTCGCGAGGTTTAATCTTTATTTTAATGGGCGGATGTTTCAACGTAAGTAGAACGATAATGAATCGTGTGCCAGTCATTCAACCCAAAGTTTCGAATTTCTTTTTGCGATTAAGCATAGAGAGAGAAAGAGAGAGAGAGAGACAGAGAGAAAGAAAAAAACTATATATATATGTGTATGTGTGTATTACTTCACGTTGACATACGAGTCGTACTATAATATTTACAATGCATTTTCGATTTTTATATCAATTCGTACGCATTCTCAAATAACTTTGGAAACCTCCAGGTTCTCATACGAATGAGAACGAACGAACGGATGCATCCAGTGCAATGTTTACGTTTAAT